AGTCAATGATTTGCTCACTTAATTTTTATGTATATTATCCGATACGTTGTTTTTTGTTTTGAAAGATATTTTTTTTGTTTGTTTTTTAACCGTGAGTGTAGTGGTGTTAACTGATTCAACGAGCAAATTTTGGTGCATTCTAGCCAATATAAAATAGTAAAAATTAAATTGTTTATGTGTTTTCAGGGCCGTTCTATGCAGCGTCACCAAGGATTTACTCTTGTTAGTAGGATCCCCATTAACCATATTTGTTTTCTTCTTCATCATTTTGTAAATAGTTTTTATTTTATTATGCAACGTCTCGATTTTCGACCAAAGATATGCCATTCTATATGGAGAGTTCCTCCGGGTCGGCTTTTCTACGGTCAGCGCCAATACGTGGTGTCGAGCCATGTATATAAGGGTGAGCATGCAGTCCAATATTTTCTGTCGTGCCATGTAATCGGCTGCATAGTTCCAATACCGGTCGCGATGCCATGGCAGGATCTGTCTTCTGGTTTCGTTTAATATTTCTATTCCAGTGTCATTTATTACTTCTTCATTGTCATCGTTTATTATTGATGCGTTGAATCCAGTTGAGGCTTGGTGTATCTTTTGAAGGTGGTGTATGGTTGCATTTAGAGCAGTATTTGAGATTTTTGACATGTCGATGGCTTCCTTTCTGTCTATAGCAGCCTGAATATCGTCGGCCTTTAAGTATTGTGGAAGTTTATGGAACACTTCATTCATATTTAATTCGTCTATCTTACGATGATCAGGACAAAGGCAGCCAGACGCCGACAGGATTGTGTCTAGAAATACAAAATTACAATAATTACATATAGAGCTTCCTGTAATGCTAATGTTGTCCATAACATGCTGTGTAGACGTTAATTTCCTTAATTTCCAAGCAATTGGTTATACGTGTCTCGACTTAGCTTTTAAATTGTAAGCATCGGCGTACGAATGTAGTACGTACTGAAAGACACAAAATAATATAGCGCTAAACATGTACCCGCCGCCGTGTTCTAATGCAGCAATTGTCAATTATAGTTCTTCATATTTTTATTTTTCAGTGTTAGTGTACGCAATGAAGTAATTTTCTAAGTCAAATTCAAAGTCAAATTATCCTTTATTTGATATGTAAAATAAATTTACATCTGAAAACGTAATTTTTTAAGCTACTGCTCGTTCAATGTGCTGATTTCCCTGAGAAGAACGAGGCAGAAACTAAAGGGATTGCTCATTTCAGAATACACTATGAATCAAATTTATGTAGAATTTACTCTCTTTAAAATAAACTCTCGTCATCTTTCCATCGTCTTTATCTATTACGTAGTCTTCAATTTTGTAATACGACTTTTCAATTAAAATACTTTAAATGTAGGTTTTAAACTTAGGAAATGGTAACATTAATATCGTCGCTTAAATGCTAAACGGCCGCAAGTCAAAAGTTCACTTTTATACTGGACAGGTTATCAAAGTTTTCGACCTCATTTTTTAACATTGTTTTATTTTTAAATACCCATGCATTTATACTCAAAAGATGCGTAGTTTAAAGCTCTATAAATTTGTACACACAGACACAACCCACAAAAGGAATTAATTAAATTTTTATTGAATTGATATTCAATTATTTTTTGTGAAATTACTCCACTAATTTGTTATAATTATTAATACAAAGATCGAACACTCAGAATCGGTTCTCAGAGTCGGTTCGAATCCGACCGGATCGAAGGAATTTTTTCTGAGTGTTTTTTCTGAGTGTTCGATCTTTGTATTAATAATTACCACAAAAGGAATGTTTAGCTAAAAAATTAGCCGCTAAAGTGCAGAATGCCAAACAAGCATTTGCGTAATTCCGTTGTTTATAATGCCAATTCGCTAGGTGTCTTCATGTAGTATTAAAGTTTCACCGTTTTTAACATTGACTTATGGTTTTTAAACACATTTTTGCAATAAAAAAATTTTTGATTTTTTTGTGATGCGGCGGTTTAGCATTTAAGCGACGATATATGCCCCGGATCTTATTGTAAAAACGTATTCAGTTCCCTATAAAAGAGTTGTTTACCTTGGTTAAACGAAATCGTGTTACCATGAGTTGGGATTTAGTTCTAAGGTTAATATTATGGATATCTCACGAGTATACAAAATATTTGAGTAAATGTACTCGTACTGTGATGCCACAGTCATGATACCAGTGTCCTTCATCGGATAACATTGCATTGTGGTGGAATATTATCAGTGCTACCAAAGGACCGTATACTATCATAATACATTCCACAGTTTATATATTCCTGATCGGCTAAAAGACTGCAAGCGAATAATAAATAATTACCGGGAATGCTCGTTTTCATTCTGACTGTTACTTTACTTGCTACAAGGATACGATTTGGAGAGGATTTAGTAACAGTAGAGATTCTTGTAAAAGAGTTCGTCCAGGGAAGTACTGCCACCTTACCTATTTCTGCCGCCAAACAGTAATGTCAGCATTACTGTGTTCCGGTGTTGAACGTGACGGGCGCAGTGGCAGTGCCCCTCAGATCTTTGCGATTTAAAACTCTGAGTGGCACTGCAATTGTTATGGACAGGCATGTAGCTTAATAAATTAGTAATTATTTAAGCAGTTTATTTTAGTTTATTTTAGTTTGCGACACACACGCCCGTCACTCATCTCAGCTCAGGGCTCATTGAAAACCAGCGCCACAGTCAATTGCGGCTGTGGCATAAGCTGAATGAAGTCCTTTTGCGTACGCCACAACCGCACACATGACAGTACAACATTTGTAGTTGTTATATTTAGTATTTTTCTGTTTTGCTCTTTGTTTGTTATTGTCTTATTTTATTTTATTTTAATTTTGTTAATTACGTCTTTTTGTTTTGTTTTGCTTGTCTAAGTGGTATCAATATTTTTTTTTGTATCTATGTGTTGTGGCGTTGCAATAAATGTCTATTCTATTCTATTCTATTCTAGCTTACCCTCAGGCGCACGACTAGTTCGTCCCGTCATTTGATATTATAAAAAAAGGGGGTGGGCTTCTTTTGAAACAGTTTGTTCAGGGAAGTACTGCCGCTATACCTATTTCTGCCGTCCCATCATCTGAGTATTACAGCGTTCTAGTTTCGAAGGGTGCTGGTGAAATTACATTCACATGGGACTTGTCAACTTTATGGCTCAAGGTGACGGGCACAGTGGCATTGCTCCTCAAATCTTTGCGGTTTAAAGCTCTGTACGGCACTGCAACTGTTATGGGTAGATATGTCGCTAACCACGCGGTCCACGACTTGTCCCTTTACTTGACATCATTAAAAAAATTGTCATACTCACAAAGCAAATAAATTGTATACGTTAACAACTTTCTCATTGCAACTAATCCCGTTAATTCAAGAGGGTACATAAAGCTGATTACTACTTAATAATAAGTTGTTTTATGCTTAAATACCAAATTAATTACGAGGGTCATAAACGTTTCTCATAATTAAAAAATTCTATTTTCTGATGTAATATACTGCTGCTGGTTACAAATCCTATGACAGTTGCGTAGTACTAGTGCTGTTTCTCTATTGTATACTTTTTGTAGCAGTAGCGCTCTTTCTGAAAGAGTTCGTCAAAGGAGGTACTGCCACAATCAATTGTATTTCTGCGATAATGTGAGCATTACCGCGGTCCGGTTTTGAAGGGTAACGACAATGGTGAAATTACAGGCACATGGGACTTTTGAATAGAATTGGGCGGGTCACGTTAGCCCGATGTAACCTGTGAAGTGGGCGAACGTCGTCACTTCTTGGGTGCCCGAGGATGGAAAGATATGGCGTTGGACGGCCGAAAAGGCGTTGGCGGGACGGTCTTGATGGGTTTGAGAGAGAGTGGTGGGAGATCGCCAGTGGAACAATTGAGGATTTTGGGAGAGACCTTTGTCCAGCAGTGGGATATATAAGGTTAATTAAAAAATGGGAGTTGTCAACTTATGTTCCTCAGATCTTTGCAATTTACATGCACAGAGGTGTCGTTTAACACTAGGCGCACGACTTGGTATCGTAAAAAATGAATGAATTGTCGTTGCAAATGTTTGAAAGATCTCTTTGAAACTTATAACTACATGTACTGATATGGTGTTGCGGGCAACATCCATTATACAAATTATTAAAATTCATGATTTCAATCTATATCTTATGAAGCATTCATATCGTTTATTAATCCCCCATATCTGTAAAATTCGATGAAGCCAGCATGCGCATTGAGTACTTTATATAACAGAAAGCGTAGAAGCCACCGCGACAACAAACACGCGCTGACCATTAATAAAGAGTTTTCTGGACAGATAGAATCTTTATTCACTACCACGACAAATACATACATACACAGACATTAACTTAGATGTAACACAGTAACAAATTCTACTAATATCTCTCTTGGAAGTCATGGCAGTGAAAAGGCACTGAGTCAGCATAAACGACGCGGCTGCCCGCGACACTGGTATTCTGACAGGAATACCAAAGTCGCGCCTATAGGACAGAGACGCCACTCGTGACACCCAAAACAAAACCAATTTAGTTCAATTCAAATTCAATCCAATTCAATTCAATCCAATTTAGTTTCATCCAATTTATTTTTTTTTAAACACCGTAGCCACTCATATTTCCAATTTCTGCATATTTAAAAGATATTCTGCAGCTTTTGCTTGAAAGTCCTTTTTGTGACACTGTTACGGGTAGGAGGAGGAATATGGTGCCAACAACTAGTGGCTAACTATCGGAAACTCCCTCTGAAAATGCAGCGGTACTATGGCTAGGGGTACAAGCAGAAACGCCCTTATCGACCAAAGCAAGAGTTTATCGTGGATGACCAAGTGAGTTTCTCATACAAATAATAAGGTATGTAGAACTGAACAACAACCCAACCAGATGCAATTTATAGCACCCACCTTTTTTTGCGTGCATCGCAAGCATGTCAGACTTATTCAGAAGGGGTGTCACATGCAAACAAACTTTCCGCGTCCGCGTTTGAGTTCTTAGTACACTTATGGTAAAGGACCAGTGATGACTCTCTTGACCTGATCTATCCAGTTCAACCACGCGGTGGGGTTTTCTTGCCAAATGCTCTACGGATAGTAAAGTGAGAATGCCAGCCTAGACTATGAGAAGTAAGCAGCTACTTGATGCTAAATTCAAGTACTTTGTATGTAGCAACTTGTGACAAATTCTTACTCACAAGATTATATAAAAAAAATAGGCAACATCATCGTCAGTCACAAATTCCCTTATAATAAAGGGAATATTTGTGGTTCTCAGAATAAGGAGTAGGTGAGTCTCGTCTAAAATATAACTTATATTAGTTAATGTTATAATAATATAGTACAATATTGCAGAGGCCGGGTAGTAAGGGATTGCTTGACGAGTATGAGTTACAAGGATGAGCGCCAGAGAGGCCTTGTAATAATAATACGAGTCAAGCAATCCCCGTTTCCGCCGAGGCATGTATAGAATTTTTCTCAAATAATGTGAGGAAATAATAAAAGACTAAAGAGAGGAAGATGTATAATAGAAAAAAAAAAATTAATTAATATTAAAAGTATATATAAAATATATATAAGTATATATATATATATAATAATATTTGACGTGTTAGAACAATTCCTAAAAGAAAATGTTATTGTTTTTCCAGGCACATTAATAGTAGTCTGCTGGATTTCTGATGTGTTTGAATGTGTATCTATTACAGTGTTTTCGTTATCGCTCTTCTCACTAGCACTTATTTTCGCGATCAAAATACAAAAACGAAACAAACAAAAAAATACCAAAGCACTTTAGTTTAAATGTTACCGCATTTTTTTTAAAGTAGGCGATACATGTAGATATTCTTAATTCTCGCAACTATCAACACTGGGCAGTTTGAGTTTGAGTTTTTCTTTTCCCTGTTTACATAGTTTATTGTTAGTAGGTAGATATAAAAGTGGACAGTAATGGATTTTCATACTTTGTAGGCCTTGGCCGGAAAGAAGTCGCACGGTGCCAAAAATGGCAAACTTTCCGTGTTCTGTTTGAAAAAAAAATCATTATTAATATAAACATATTTTAATAATTTATACTTGAACACGTTTGTCTTAAAATAATTTTTATTTCCTTGGACGTCTTTGGGTAGTTGGCGTAGTTTGGTATAACTGATTTAGTGCGGAGTATTTGTGGTGTATCTTAGCGATGATCCAAAAATAAAAATTAAACTGTGTATGTACCTTCAGAGCTTTTTGATGTAGCATAAGAAAATAATATGGCCTATCCCAATCAAGATCCCAATTGTACGTGTACGCTTTTCTTGCCATCGTATTGTAGACTGATGATGTTCTCTCGTGTAGTACTTGAAGTTTTGTCCAGAGATACGCAAGCCGATATGCGTCATCTTTCGGGGCTTTTACCCGGATATGTTGTAAATGCATCATCTTCATGTGATGCCGAGCCATGTAGATGAGGGTGAGCATGCAATCCAATACTTTCTGCCGTGCTATGTAATCGGAAGCACGGTTCCAAAACGGGTCATAATATCCGTGATACGGCAGCATGTGTCTTCTGGTTTCATTTCTTCGGCTTTTATTAAATAATTCTGTTCTAATTTCATGAATAACTTCATCATCGACGTTTTCTATTATTGATGCGTTGTATCCTGTTGCGTTTTCGTATAATGTTTGTAGTTGCTGTAGAGTCTTATTGAAGTGAGCATCGGATACTTTGGACATATCGACGAAGTTTTTTCTATGTATTGCGGCCTGGGTATCGTTTGCCTTGAGGTAACTTGGTATTTTGTGAAACACGTCGTTGATATCTAACGAGTCTAATATATCATAACGCCAACATTTGCCATTTAATGCTGATAGGATAATGCCTAAAAGAACAAAATTATAATTATAATTTCGTTTAACTTACGTTTGGTAATATTCACATGAAGTTCTGGTAGTTCATGGGGCTCATTTTCTGAGTTGAAATTTGCACCGAGGAATCGGGCAAATCAAAGACGCATCACCACAGTATTTGCCTAGCTTTCATTACATCCTGCTTTATGATTATAAACTACGATCAGGTGTCGGAATCAATGGAGTTAATCTACTTAAAGTAGAAATGTTTTCGTTATCAATGCGCATAAAATTGTTTTTTTTTACTGTTTATTCCTTGAAAGGCTATTATATAAATATAATATAAAGTATTTAAAGTCTTAAGTACCTATAGAAACGCAACTACAATATTATTGTGTTTCTTTTCAACAAAGTCGTGCAGCACAAATCGTGCGCCTGATGATAAACTACACCCCTGTCCATAACAGTTGCAGTGACACTCAGAGCTTTAAATCATAAAGATCTGAGGGGTGCTGCCACTGCGCCCGTCACTCTGAGACATAAGTTGACAAGTCTCATGTGCTTGTAAGTTCACCAGCACTCTTACTGTTTAAAACCGGAACGCAGTAATGCTAACATTATTGTTTGGCGGCAGAAATAGGTAAGGTGGCAGTACTTCCCTGGACCAACTCTTCCACAAGGAGCTCTACTGCTACTAAACGTAGTAAACTACTTAAGTAAAAAACTTAGAAAAAAATCCTTCGATCCCGCTGGATTCGAATCAACGTCGTCAAGGAAACCGTGCCAGACGCTATGCCAACTAAGCTACGGAACAAATCAGAGGACCTTACGAATTTTTCTATGTGCTTGTTGCAGATCTTTATTTTGTTTTTTTTATTAACGACTTTTTTGCACTAGCGACATGTATGAGAAATACAAAGTTATTTTTTGCGACAATAAATAATTTGTAGCAAACACTTAATGGGAAATAATAATTTGTCGCCAATGTATTAAAAATTTCAATAAATAATACGCATATTTAAATATCAGTTCCGAAAGTCTCAGGATTTATCATTGACTTACAATTATATGGACGTCGGGTCCGCGCTAAAAAGTGTCCGAACTTATAGGGCGTTAAAATCGTATACAGAGCGTCATTCACGCTTTAGTCTTTGTTTGTTCGACTGACAGCGAAGCAAGCAAAATTAGACAGTACCGCGATCGCTTTTTCATATTCCTTTACATGTCACTACGTTTAAATAAGTTGACTTGGGACATTTTTGTGGTTTTTGTGTTAGACCCGTCGTCCATTTATTTGTAAGTCAATGAGATTTATAGAAGGGAATGTCCACGTTATCCATAACGTCGCCTCACTTTCTCAAACTTGTATCTTAAAGCACAAAGTTACTAAAATGCAAAAATGGATTGTATATTATTATACAAATTTTGCACGTTGATTTCACATCATATTTCCTTCATATTCATGAATATAACACTGTCCTTTATCTATTCTTAAAGTAATCCATCCAAATTAACAACACCCTTGATAAGAAAAAAAATTAAGTTTTGCCATCTCCTGAATAATGACTCTTTATAAGATACGAGTTTGAAGGCATCGACATGCGTGTTTTCTGTACAGATTGCTGCACGATGAAAGTCCGCCGTATTTGTACGATAAGTTAATTTCTAAAAATGTATGTCATCACTTAGGGACAGAGGTCCCATGTTACGTGTACCCATGGTTAGATTCGCTGGCGCAAGAGAATGCTTTAAGTACGCTTCTGCCAAAATTTGGAATGACCTACCTCCACCTATCTGTAAAATTCAATTTAATCATACACTTTCACCTTTACGTGGATATTGTCGCGAATGGCTACTTACACAGCAGGTTCTTGCGCTTGGAATATATTAATACTGATAGGGTTAATTATTCTAAGTTTCCATGTTTTATAATAAAATATCCTAATTACAATACCTACTTTAAGTCTCGATAGCCTAACATAATTTAATTACAATACTTCAATAAGGTTATGATAGAATAACAGAGGCCGTGGGTTCCCACTGCTGACCGCTGAGTCATAAACAGTATTGTCTTGTTAATTAATACAGTTTCCGATTTTATTATAAAATGTATTACTGTTTTCAAGACAAATAAATGAGTTTATTATTTCTATTATTGTTTAGTTTAGCTAAATTATTTCCCTTTATCCCGGACAATGTTTATGATATAGACTAGAATCATGCATGGTCACAATCCCACTCGACGGTAAGAGATGACGTGAACGATAATGTTACAAGTTAGCCCAAAAAATAGCTATTTGCTATAGCCTTGATTAACCGCAAATTGGATGCTGATAAATAATATCGTGCCAACTAACATGATTATACTTTTGGGAAAATGGCGTCTAAAGATATTTTCCTTTTTTTTTTGATAGTTTGTACACACGCCAGCACATCAAGCTACATACGTATCTTGTTCCGTTGCACTGGAGGCGATTTTCGAACAAAAGTGTGTAGTCTGATGTGCCGTTGTCCGTACTAAAATTTACTTATAATTTGAAAAGTTTTGCTGTTGTACCTTAGGAATTATGAATTGTAGTGATTTATTATTATAATTTCCCAACAACGAGCACAAAACATTTTTATTTTTTTATGCAAATTTTAAATCTTTAAGCGCCCTTTTTGCAAAACAGTTGATCATGTTGGTTGACACTTTTTTGTTCTTCTTCTTCTTTAATCTTTAGTCACCCACTGCTGAGTGTAAAGTTTCTCATTCGCACGCTATCCTCTTCGGTCTTGGGCCATTTGCATCCAGGTCTTTTTGGTTACCTTGACTATATCGTCCGTCCATCTAGCCTTCTAGCTGCCGACGCTTCTGGTGCCGGCCCTCGGTCTACAATTCTGCACTCTTTTGCTCCACCGGTCATCGGTTCTGCGGCTTACGTGACTCACCTAACGCTCCACGTCAGATAGCTTAATGCGACTCCGGATTTCTGTATTTTTTATTTTACCGCTCATTGACACCCAGCATGGCGCGTTATTGCTTACCAGCATCCAATTGTAGTTTTGGGAAACATTAGTACCCAGTGTTCCATATCTCTATCGTAGGCATTAAAAAAAAGCAATGAGTGCAATAGATAGCAAATTAATGTCATAAGAAATCGTGCTATATATTCGACCAAAAGTGGAAGTGTGAGGGTGAAACTACTTTAAAAAAATCCTGCACAAACTCTCCGGAACGTAACCGGAGTACCCATTTACATAACGAAGCAAGTTAGGAGCAAATGTGATTGCATGGTGGCTAACCTGACTATAATGCCCCAAAGAACACCCTCGGGACTTTTGTCTTTCCATTACAGCCATGGTCGGTAAGGAGTTTTTTTTTATTTGTACTAAAACATACTTCCTTACACAGGTCAGGTGCAAGTTCAAGCAAGGAGGTTACTATAATAAAATCGCTTAAAATGTTATCTAAACAGAAATTAAATTGCAATTCAGCTACTAACAACTAATTGAATACTCATTATTAAGAATTTCTTATAATTGATTTTAAGAAATTCTTAATAATTTGCAATACATCATGGCTTCTTCTTCTTCTTTTAAATGTTATGGCTCCATCGAAATAATCAATGATTTAGCTATATTCGTCTTTGGAAGAATACTAAGCTGGACATCTGTCAATAAAAAAAAAACAAAAAGCCCGCCATTTGCAAAATACGTAATCGTTGTGTTTAGAACCATATTTTATTCATGCAAGTAATAAACATTGTATTTGTTTCACATTGTATGTATCACGAACGGAAAAAAATCCTTCAGCTTCGGACTTCTAATACACCCTCGTTAGTAATTTCTTATTTACCGTCCGTACACAATGTACTATAAAGATCCATAATTCTTCTACTCACCAAAAATGACAATAAAAATATTCATATTATATTGCTAATGAGCTAGCACTATGGTTGTTCTTTTCCAAATTATAATTCGCGTTCAGAAGAAAAAAATTAATGACTGTTGTAATAATTAAACCTTTATGTGAAAATGAAATCAGTGTGAAATTACATAACGCAAAAAGCGCTAAACTAAACACACTTCCACACGTTTATCACTGATTGTTACATAAATCTAAGCCTAAAATGCAGCAAGCCTGAGTCACCGCCATGACCAGGTGGTGTTAGTAGTTTTGGAATTGGTTTGGAACTACGCAGCAGTAGCACTACAGATCCTTGTGAAAGTGTTCGTCCAGAGAAGTGTACACAGATAAAGCACACATTCATGTCATGTTCGTACACAGAATAGGCCTATAAAAATATATCGATTCTCATGAATATACTAGAGACGGAAAGTTATCGACGTGACGGTGTCGATATGTATTACCTACTGGTTATATGAAAAAAGGAATTTCACCCTTGGCTAGACTGGATGTAGTGAACTCTTTTTCCAATTTTGTGTGTAGTGTAACAGTGGTATTGTTTTACTTGTATTTGCCAGAAGAGATTGCCCATTGACTTACCAATAAATGGATGACAATAAATACAATCCAAAGTCTAATCCAAAAACCGCGAAAAAATGTCCGGAGTTTTTCTCAGTTCATGGCTTTTCGCGGTCAGCGTTGGAGCCAATGACGATCATGGCCGGAGTCAACCTCTACAAACATAGTGACATGTATAGAAATATAAAAAAAAACTAAAAAACATTTAATTTAAACTGTAAAGTCATTGCAGTATTGCTTAATTTTGTTTGCCACAATTTAAAGGCCCAAAAATGATCCATATTCAGCTTCTACTGGAAATAACAAAATGCGCTATATTTAGCTTCTAGTGAAAACTACTTGAACATAAGAGTAATGGAGTGGTCTTAATGTCAATATTAATTAATTTTATAGTATTATGTTGAATTTTATACGAATTCACTTCAAGTAATAAGAGTTGTGCAGCTATATAGGTACATTCAAAAATACTGTAAATGAAAAAATAGTTGTGTCTCTCTGTTGGTAGTTATGACGTGCGGTAAGAAATGTATCGATGATTCGAATTTCTAGATTCTAACTAGAAAG